CCTTTTTATTCCTTCTTACTCCTTTCTATTGACCTTCTTATTCCTTCTTATTCCTTTCTATTCACCTTCTTATTCCTTCTTATTCCTTTCTACTGACCTTCTTATTCCTTTCTATTGACCTTCTTATTCCTTCTTATTCCTTTCTATTGACCTTCTTATTCCTTCTTATTCCGTTCTATTGACCTTCTTATTCCTTCTTATTCGTTTCTATTGACCTTCTTATTCCTTCTTATTCTTTTCTATTCACATTCTTATTCATTTCTACTGACCTTCTTATTCCTTTCTATTGACCTTCTTATTCCTTCTTATTCCTTTCTATTCACATTCTTATTCCTTCTTATTCATTTCTATTGGCCTTCTTATTCCTTGCTATTGACCTTCGAAGACCTTCTTATTCCTTCTTATTCCTTTTTATTGACCTTCTTATTCCTTCTTATTCCTTTCTATTGACCTTCTTATTCCTTCTTATTCCTTTCTATTGACCTTCTTATTCCTTCTTATTCCTTTCTATTCACATTCTTATTCCTTCTTATTCCTTTCTATTGACGTTCTTATTCCTTTTTATTCCTTTCTATTGACCTTCTTATTCCTTCTTATTCCTTTCTATTGACCTTCTTATTCCTTCTTATTCCTTCTTATTGACCTTCTTATTCCTTCTTATTCTTTTTTTATTCACATTCTTATTCATTTCTATTGACCTTCTTATTCCTTCTTATTCCTTTCTATTGACCTTCTTATTCCTTCTTATTCCTTTCTATTCACCTTCTTATTCCTTCTTATTCCTTTCTACTGACCTTCTTATTCCTTTCTATTGACCTTCTTATTCCTTCTTATTCCTTTCTATTGACCTTCTTATTCCTTCTTATTCCGTTCTATTGATCTTCTTATTCCTTCTTATTCCTTTCTATTCACCTTCTTATTCCTTCTTATTCTTTCTATTCACATTCTTATTCCTTCTTATTCCTTTCTATTGACCTTCTTATTCCTTCTTATTCCTTCTTATTGACCTTCTCATGCCTTCTTATTCCTTTCTATTTCCCTGCTTGTCGGGATATGCCCGCAAGAAACATGTCGCTGTAACGCTTTTTTTCTGCCGTGGTAACATTGCACCTTGTCATGGTAACAAAATCGCGTTTTTGTCGTGGTTACGACCCCCTCTCGAGAAAGGATGCCATGTATCCCTTCTTGGAGCTTAGCTGGGGTGTTGATGGATATCCTCGACTAGCACGTGCATTTGTTGGTTGCAGGTTTGGCATCTAGAATGGCAACCCGAAAAGGGCTACTGCGTGACTGGGTCCTGTTTTTGTTTTTTTCCTTTGGCGTGTGGGTGCGAGCTCCAACCATCCAGCTCCTGATCTAAGTCGAGGCAGCATTTCAGCACTCCAGTGTTATGGACATTGTAAGAATACACCCTTGTCAGAGTGACTGTTCAAGATGAGGCTGGTTATCTTTGGCACTGCCATCAAGGTCTTCACAGGCAGCTGGGAACGGGATGCGGGGTGACCGGGGTGGATCTGAGCGTGTATCCAAATTGGGGGCCTCCAAGTAGGTCGGGTGGGTAAGGAACTCAACATATCTAAATCGGAGCGGAACACATACACCACAACAACCGTCGCTTCAAAGGAAACCAAACAGGAACCGAGCGTTTGAAGGTGTTGACCCGTTTTAGGAATACAATTTCCTTAGTGCAGATTCAAAGCTCCTATGATCAACAACTAAAAAGTGGTATGTATCAGCAGTCAACGTTAGGTTTGGGGGTGGAGCAATGGGGCAACTCATGGAGATAGGCTACACCTCACCTCGCCCTTGCTGATCCACGATTGTTTTTTGTCAAACACATGCATAGTCTGGTGGGACACGTGCAACGTGTTGGCCTTCTGCCAAGTGAAAGCTGGCTCACAAGAGCGGCCATGTTCAAAGATTCAGGAATAGTGTGCACGGCTATACTACCAGCATTTCATGGTGATGTATATGTTGTGTATTTTGGTGCCTGCTATGCAACATGTTCAGGTTCTATCCAGGCTCATTTATCAGCCTTTTTATCGGCTTTGCTAGGCGACGACACCTAGATGACTCCCCTTACTTTTATCCGCTCTGCGCTGGCTCCTCCCATTCGTCATGGGCAGCACGTTGGCCAATCACATTCTGCATGTCTCACGGGCTCATGGGCATCGAAAAGGCATGCCAAAGGCGACTAAATGTGTGTGTGTGTGTATGTGCGTGTGTGTGTGTGAGGGTACCCATTCCAGGTTGGTTTTGAAGGGAAACCAAGAGGCAAACACTCACATTTCGGGGGTTCCGTTTGAGACGCACCAAAGTTGTCCACTTGAGGACAGAAACCATGGGGATGGGTGCCCTTATCGGGACACTTTCTACCAGTGAACCTCCTTTAGAGTGTTCTGAAAGCTGACGCCTTGGGTGATTATATTCAGTACTGACAAACTTATCGCCCAGGTGCTCTTGGGGAACGATTCATATTGTTCTAGGGGTTGATTCCTTTTCCCATTCTTTTCAGCCATGGTTCTTTTCGCAAACCAGCCATTTCTCAGGGTGTTTGCTGGTTTTCTGGAAAGAAGGATCCCTGGAAAGAATGGGGAAGTTACCCCTGGGATTGTCCGTGAGTTCTGTGGGGGCGTTGGCTCTTGCATTCCTGATGACGGCTGCGGAGAGGAGCTCGCTGGAACCAGCAGCATGTCCCCCCCCACCCCTTGCCCGCCGTACCTGCCCGTCCCCCGCTGGCCGCTATTACTTCTCGTTCTCTTTTTTTTCACTTTCACTTGTTCTTTATGTTTATCCTTGTGTTTTGTATTCTCTCTTTGTGTCCTTCTTCATGTTGTTTTTCTTTCTTTCTTTCTTTCTTTCTTTCTTTCTTTCTTTCTTTCTTTCTTTTTGTTTCATTTTCATTTCATTTTTTTCCTTTCTTCTTTTCCATTGTTTCTAGCTTTCTTTTCTTTCCTGTCTTTCTTTCTTTTCTTTGCTTTCTGTCCTTTTTTTCATTTGTTTTCTTCTTTCTCTGTCTCTCTCTCTCTCTTCGCTCTGTTCGCGAGGCAATGTGGTCGAGGTGCAGCTGTATGCGACGATGGGCGGTCAGTTCATGCGCATGCACCCGGTGGTCATCATGGCCACTGTCCAGCAATGGAAAGAAAGGGGCTCTCAGCTTGGTTCGCTTGCGGGTGTGTTTTGCGTGGAGAGGAAGATGCTGGGGCAGGTTTTGTGCTTCACTTGTGACTAGCACCAAGCGAGCAATGATGAGTACTTGTACATACTATGTATATATATACATAAATACATATTTCTATGTATGGATGTGTGTATGGATACGTGTACACATATGATATGCCTTTACAAGGGCGCCCCAATCATATGTTTCATTTCATTCTTTTGCACCGCTTTGGCTGCTGGCAAGCAGGAGGAAGACGCTGCCTCACCTTTCCTCCACTGAATGCGCGACATTTGATAGCACCGGCAGCCACCCGCCCCCACCCTGGAAGCTGCCGAAGGGGAGTCGGATGTTTCGCTTGAGGGCGGATCGGGGCAAAGCAAACAGCTCAGCCATGGTCACAACCTGCTTGACGATGTTTTTAGGAATCCTTCTATGTGCTGGCCTTCTCTTTGTCGTTTGCAAGTCGTGCCGGCCTCAAACGGGTTGCAGCCACGTCCTTTTTATTGTTGCACCACACATCGAGCGTTGCCATTCTGCTTGGCTGTTGTTCCTTGGTTCCTTCGTAGCTGACCCGACTTCTTGCGTAGTTATCTTCAGAGGCTTAACAAGCCAACGCCCTCAGACCACCCCGCCCCAGCGGTAGGGCCTTACTTGGAAGGTGGCTAGGGTTCTGGATCTCGAAATTTGCGAGGCCCTGATCATGCTCTTCTCCTCCCTCCTGGGAGTCACCGGCATGTTCTTGGCCACTTAGCCGCAGTTTTGGGGCCACCTAGCCGAAGTGCCTGGGCGGTTATGTTGCAATGAACACAGAGTTGTCATATTTGAACCACCCAAACCATCTCCTGGAACAGCACGTCCCGGCCAAACAAAAAGCATAGGAAGTTCCCCCGGCCAGGCCAATCTGTTCGTCATCCCTGCTCCAAACGGAGCATTCTCCTTTTCTTAACAATAGTTTTCGTGTCCGTTTGTGGGCATGTAGGCTTTCGAGAAGGGACTGGGCGAGAGACCTTGATTTGAATACGCTTGTTTCTTGTGTGTTCCAGCCAAATTGTTCCACCACGATCCGTAATTTTGCAGTGGTTGATATCGTGATGAATGGGAATGTGAACCAAGCACCAGTTGCACATCTTTCTGATGGCAAACATCACGTCGGTTCCCTTCTGGAAAGATTTACCGGTTTCTTGGTTTTGACAAGTGGTGCCGGGTTAGAGTCTCAAGTGATGGCTGATGTGAGCCTCCCATCAACTTTGATGTCCCCACCTGGGAATGCTTTTGGAAGGGGGGATATACTCTCGACAGAAGGGTCGCTGTTTCTTTGGAGGTAGAAAGTCGTGTATGGAGATGGGGGGGTGTGACGCTTTTGCGGTCGGATGTTCAATTGTTCAAAGCGAGCCTTTGCGCAATGGTCAACAGGTCAGCGTACATGGGGGTTGTAGGAATTGTCATCAACCTCTCAGCAGGGGGGAGGGGGGGGTTTTCGACAATCGAACTACTGTGGATGGACGAATTCCTGAATACCAACAAACAACGGTTTCCCATGGTTTTAAAGTGGTGCAGGATTTCGTCCATCCACAGCATGACCATGCCCCACGAAGCGAGTTCATACACGGAGCCCTGGTGAGGTGTGCGGCTGTTTTTTCCCCTGCCAAGGCCGTGCCTACCATGGCGGCGGTGAAGTACTACTTGGTGTCGACGGATGCTTGCCGCATGCGAACGGCTTTCTTCTTGTCTGTGGATTTCCAGGTGTCGCCGAGTTTTACTTCGAGCTTAGGGGCTAGCGTTGTGAGTGTGCCCTTTTTGGGGAGGGCTCAAAGGGCGATCAAACGGAACACCGACCCCCCCCCATATGTTGACACATGCCCGGAGCTGGATGTCTCGGGTTTCCTCAAAGCCAAGAGCCAGAGGCAGCGGACCCGAACTTGCGAGAGAAAGACGGGCTTTGGCATCATTTGAGTTATGTTATTGAGGATAGCCTTTTCAGATTGGGGGGCCCCCATTTTGACACATGCCCATTTGGAGCAAGAAAGCATAGGCCCCTCATGGGCATTGTTTGCTACACTCCCGTTTCCGTGGCGCTCTCCAGGGATGCTTCCAAGAGGCTTCTTTTCTAGTGGCTCCTTCTCTGAGCCCCGGGCGGGGGTTTAGCACGATTTTGGGGGGTCCGCCTACCCAGGAAAACACATCCAAATCTTCGGCGTTGAATTTCTGAGATGGTCTCATCCAGTGTTTTGTTGTTTTCCGACACATATCCTGCCGCCAAGAGGGAATCTGGCAGGAGGTCAGATTAAAAAGAACACTGCGGGAGGCTTCAGTGAGATTCCATGTTTGCTTACAAATGTTTGCTGCCATGTGAAACTCCAGAGGGGATCCCAAAACAGGAGTGTCTTAAATGAACATCAACATGGAGTGCAGAAGTGGGATCTTCCTCTCAATATGACGTTGTGTTATTTTGCGGTTCCACGCGAATCTGCAGGGGTGTAGTGTAACAATGTGACCTGAAGATTTTGGAGGCTTTTGGTTGGGTGTTCCAAGTTCGAGCCCCGGGGCTGCTTTGCCGCGACACTTGCGCGCTTGAGGACATGCCCTTCCAGTTTCAGCACCCCCTGCTGGTCATGATCGAGGGAGATGCCGCCCGACGGAACGGAACGCGCTTGACGGAAAGGACTCAGTGGTGTATCAAGGCGTGTGTGCCTTTACCCCGGAATAGTGCTATCCGAGATCCGAGGCTGAAAGGTGTTCTGGTTTGAAGCTTTGGGTCAGATTCCACCAGTTGGAGGGCTTCAAAGAGCTTGCCTTAAAGGAAAGGGGGAATGAGCAGGAAGGCGGTGATATGTGTTCGGGGTTTGGGAGGGTATGTACCATTTCAAAAAGAAGCTACGCACTTTCGACTCCTGGGAAGCATGAGATCGTGATACTCCAGTAGTATGGTGGGATGCCTGTACACAGCAAAACCTGCGCACTCTTTGGTTTGCTGCCTTTCTTCTTGGGATCGTCCCCCCTACCAGGGCCATGTTTTGCGCTTGAGATGTCAGTGATCAGTCGGTTGTTCATGAATGGCACTTGAATGTTGCTTTCTGCCCTCTTCCAAAAATCCAGGGGAGGATCCGGAAAAAAACGGAACACATCCAAAGCTTTTCCTAGGCGATGTGACATCCCCTGGGTGATTTGAAGGGGTCCGGACCTCTTCTCTTGACATGCGATTTTGTACTGCCTTGCCCTTATTCCGCCCCTCTGCCTGACGAGTCGACGAGCGCGCGGTGTTGCTCAATTTGAAAGGGGTAATTTTTACGGGCAAAATCATCTCTAATTGTTTACCCTAACTCATGACCTGATGTGGTTT